CACACACACACACACACACACACACACACACACACACACACACACACACGCTCCGTTACTGTAGAAAGAAAAAAAAAAAAAATCATGCTTTATTGATTTACTAAGTGAAGGAGCCACAGACAAGAGCGAGCATACTTAGTCTAATCCCTGCTGTTTGGGCCATGTACGATGGACTGCTCCTTAATCCCCAAAGCTGTCAAAGTCACTTCACAGAGAAGACCCAGGACGCCTTGTGATGGTTATACAATACACAATGCGCAAATTTTTCTTTCGTCTTGTCCTCCCCGCTCCCAGTCATTTCAATGGAGCTCTTTTAAAAAGGGGATTAGACATAGCCATCTCGTCTATTGGGCTGTCATCCAGACACTTTCTTCATTTTTGCTCCTTCCTTGATGATAGAGAGGCGTGTGAATGCAGTAGATCAAACAAATGTGGACCCTGTTTGCATCTTTGAACATGAATATCAAGAGAAGTATATTTTTTTAAATGTAGATATTTGAGGAGTGACCACCTCTACTTTGGGGTACTTTTGTGTCGTAGCTACATGTCATTATCCTTAAAAAAAGACTTGTAGAGTTAACTTAGTTAGAGTTAATGATTTCATAGATTTACTAAAAGTCTTCACTTCTTGTCCAGTCTAAAAGTGGCTCAAAAACTCGCACTTTTTAAAAGTATGGATGTGTTTGCTACAATTACTGTATTACTCTTCTGCAGCACAGTCAAAGTCAAGCAATGGTATGAAATCATCTGCCCTGACAATTTTCCAGCTTTCTTTTTACCCTTCTCTGCATTACATAGTCACTCCCGGCCAAAAGCACACACACTCATACACACACTTGGACTGAAAATGGGAATCGGAGCTAAAAATGTCAGCCGTGGTACAAATGGTTGTTGGCAATGAAAGCGCACCTTGGATTGGATATAAGTGTCACTGAATAATGCGTATGGGATTACTAATTGAAGCCCGTGTGTGTGTGTGTGTGTGTGTGTGTGTGTGTGTGTGTGTGTTATGATGGGAGCCCAACCCCACTGCAAGCATGAGAGCACAGCAATATGATGGGTCAGGTGTACTCTACGTGTAGGTTCACTCAGTCACTTGAAGCTGCTCACCCTGGCCAGCTGAGCCACTCATTTCTTCCTCATTCACATCTGATGCTCCAACCACGCCTTCCAGGCATTTAAAAAAAATAAATAATAGAAATCAAATAGACATTGCCATTTTTTCTTGCTGACACGCAAGCTTCAAATTTACATCTGCTTTACAGCTAAACTTAGTATACTTTTTTGTCAGTATTCACCAAACAATATTTTTTGGAAATATTCATCACACAAAACCTTATTTTCAGAGAGGTGTCATATTTCGAATCTGTTCTACAGCGCTGCAGACACGGGAATCTTCCTATGGTAATGCAAACCTAAACACTTTCCCCCGACTGGCAGCTTCCAGCCTAATGAAACCAATACTGAGGTGACAGTTTTTCATCAAGGGGTGCTACAGTGTAAAGACAGGTTGGGCTTTTGACTGAAAATAACTGACTTCACCCTAAAGGAAACGCCACCAAACAGCTGATTCTCAGTTCTTTTAAATTCAATGAAAGAAATCTATTGAGCCTGCAATAATTAATAGCTGTCTGTGATTTTGTCATGAGACTTTTTCGTGAAAAGGCAGATCTGCTCCAGCTCCACTGCATGCAGGGTCTCACACACACACACACACACACACACACACACACACACACAC